TACCAATAGATAAGTTGGATACAGGTATGTATGCTCTCAACACAGAGCAGAAAGACAGCTGCTTCCCAGATTAGTCACTAAGCATTCCCTCCTCTTAAAATAAATCAAATTTATCTATTTTGTATTTTCTGTGGGTTTGTCAAGTGACAGTGGTACCTCACTTGTGCTGAGCAGTATTTTCAAACTGAATTTGTGGATTCAGCTTTAGAACTTGCTAGACCAAACTGGGAAACCTGCATGCTTGCAAGAAAGGTAAGAACAGCATGCCTGTGCAAAGTGGTACAGAGGTAATCTTTTAACAGCATATAAGCCTCAAAATCTTATTTTCTTGGACAATGAAAGAACAGGTGTAGTCCCAGCATTACAACAAAACCCAACTATCTAAAATCCTAATGACAGTCCAGCTCAAGCCAGTGAAACATGAATTTGCTCATGGCAGTATGGGAAGAAAGTCTTCGTGACACAGAAACAGACGTCACTCTACATTTTTCAGAATATGGCATTATCCCCTGTTTTGCATGCATGGCTTCACTGGATATATTTAAATAATATTTCATAAACACCCTCTATTAATTTCTTTATTCCAACTATATCAAACTAAAGTAGGAACAGCATGGTCTTTATTAGAAGTTTCTGTTTAGATGAAAACTTACAGTAACTAACCATCCTAACTTAGAAAAAGTAGAAAAAAGTGTTTCATTATAGTAAAAAGCCTCAATTACAGAAAGCCTGACACAGCCAAAATATAATTATGATCAATATCAGACAGAGAAGCATAAAAAGTGAAAAGTACAGCTACTGTGTCAAGCACAGTGAACATGATACTAGCTGCTCATTACTTTAATATAATTAAACTGCACTTCTTATATAAGGTATATTATAGGCATGAGTGAAGTTAACTATCTACTTTCTAGTAAAGGAATGCAACCATCACAGGTTATTTAAAAATCTTTTTGAAAAGAGCAGGACAAGTGGCATGTCAGCAGTATAAAAATATTTCTTGCTTTCTCTCACTGGGGACCATCCCTTTCCACTTCAGCATTATGACCTGCATGCACAAACCAAGCAGTAACTAATTATTTTTGTATTATAGTAAAAATCCAGTGTTTTTGAAAATGAGACCTAATTCTCTTGTATAGATTTGAGTAAGTTTAGACAAAAAAACAAAAATGCTTTACCCTTTGAGGTACCCTCTGCCATCTTCCCACCTTCTCTAGAGTCTTCCATTTGTGGCAGTAAAGTCCTGCTAAGTTTAATTAATGCACAGAATTCACTTCCTTTAGATTCATTATAATTACAAGAAAAATAAGAAAATACTAGGTATGTATTTGTGACAAGGAATATTAGCTACTTTGAACTGATTAAACGAAGTAACCGGGAGTAGTAAGTAGTAATTCCCCAATGTGGCAATTTTTCTTTCTGTAGTTTTGTGCCCAATTTTTGTAAAATATTTTACAGTCAGATCCTAGGCTTATTCTGCCATAAATGCACACTTGTATGAGCTGGTGACTGGTCTGGAAGCACAGCCAAGGAGAACAAAGCATACCTAACAGCCTTGGAATCCTCTCCAACCTCAAATGGATTACCTGTTCATTTCGAAAAATGGTGGGGCTACGTGTTGTGACCATAAGCTGTAGCAGGAGTTTGTGAGGGATAGAAAGCCAGATTTATTGTAACCTAGATAATCAGAACTGTGAAGCCACAGCACTTGGAATAGATTTGTTGCCAAAGGGGGACATCCCATTCCTTGGGTCATGAAGCATCCGCTGTGGTCTGGGCAGCTGCCCCTGTACTGGTAATGGTATCAATCCATAGCCCATTTAAACCTGACTTTTATGAATCTATAAACACCTCCAGACACAAAGTCATCTGAATTAATAGGGAAGTGCAATGGCTTCCAATTATAGGAAAGAAAGTCAACCCACTAGTTTTATCATTGCTCATATTCTAGGATGCAAACAGAAATCCAAATATTGCCACAAATCATGTCACAACTTGGTTGTGAGCCCAGAATCATTCATAGATGCTGTACCCCAACTGGATTTAAATATTCCAGTTTATTTTTTTCTTACCTACATCCAGTTCTAAAATAGCTAAACATTAAAAAAAGCTAAATAAGTATAAAGCAAAGATGAGATTAACCTTTTCTCTCTATGAGAAGGTACTATAAGCCTAGTACCTAGATCTAGGATGTTTTACATAGGAACTCTGCAACTGCTCTGACAAATGAGAAAGGTATTCTTTCATATGACTTCTCAGCTACATTAATGGAATTGTCAGGTAAAGACTCTAGTCCAGTAGTACAATTATGAGGAATAGTTATAAAAAGTTCTTTAAAAATCACAAAAACTTATCCAATTGTGTTCATTCTATAGGCTAGATCTTGTCCTGTGTAAGAGGCAGTATAGAGGCCTGCAACTATAAGAACAGTAATCCAGGGATAACTCTATGAATCAAGTCCACTTCTTTTGCTTACAGATAGGGTAGTTTTCCATTATCTGTTAGTCACAATAAAAACTGGGAGAGAAGGAACAAAGTCAAACACTTCTCACTCAACTCCTGTGTCTGTCCACTGGTGACAACACTACTGAATGAACAGGAGATGTGGTTTTAAACTTCTGTAGTCTAAACCATAACCAAAAATTAAAACAAACACATTGTGAAAATGTGCATATATGCCCCTTCCCTGGTTAAACAGAAATACCTTGGTCTATAAACTGAAATAAATTCAGATTCTGTGTCTGAAATATTCCACGCATTCCCATTAAAGAGCACAGTGAGGAGACTGATCCAAACCGCTTGCTCACAAAGGTCCAAAAATTAAACATGTGATTCTATCATTCTAGCTGAAAAGAAAATAAAGTCCTCTAAATATATAACTTTACTTAAGTAAATAGTTCAAAAACAGTGTCACGTTGTAACTTACGAATGCATATACATTCATGTCATGAGCTTGTACAGTCTTTAATCAATACATGAAGAGCAATTCAGTTCATTAAATACAGGTGTCAAGGACAAGAAAACTATCAGCTGGACTTTAACTGCCTGTGAAGGACCAGGTATTTCCTTACACGAACATGAAATGTCCTTTGAGTCAGCCGACAAAACTGACTTAAAATGGCATCTCCACACGGCGCTGAACCCTCCTTGTGTGTGTGTGTATGGGGGGGGGAGCAGCTGCTGCAGGGGAGGAGCCATGGCCGGAAGCAGGGGCGGGACTAGGTCCCGTCTGATTGGCTGAAAAGCCCGGAAATGCAAAACTGGCGCCGAAAACCCCATGAGAGAGGTAGCGCGGCACGCCCCTTCTCTCTCTCTCTCGCTCTCTCCTCGTGTTCGAGGCGGTCGTCTCCACACACTGCCTGCTGCCGCCATTTTTTCCTGCCGTGCGCTGCCGCCCGTCCCCGCTGCTGGGAGCTGCCCTGCTGCAGAGCCGCTCCGCTGCTGCTGCCTGCCCGCTCGCCGCTGCCGCTT